GTCCGTTCTGAGGTGCCTTTTGACCTCAGTTGCAACTTCTCTCTCGGTCACGCCCGTTTTTTCTGCCGCCCGATCATGCGTGTTGGTCCAACACTGCCCTGCACAGAATTAATGCCGAGTGATCAAGGTCAGCCTTCTGTTGCTCGGCCTCACTTTTCATCCGGGCTTAATGGGCGTCTCGTCACAGCTCTGTCAGCTGAAGCTGTCTGGGATTTCCCCCCGTGTAGTGAAACGGGTCTTAGGTTTAGCGCTCTCCGTCTCCGCTGCATGAGATCCTTTTTGGCGGGGGCAGTGTGACATCTGTACAATGACCCAAAATATATATAATTCTTTCTGGCCGATATATTCAGTTCTCTGCTTTAGCTGGAAGCCAAAGTTTTGACAGTATGGTAGGTTATATTTTGTGGATTTTTCCCACTTGTATTACAGGTTAAGTCATACATGAATGTATGATGGATAAATAATGTCCATATACAGTGACACTCTTCAGCTAGTGTAGGTTGGTCATGACTCAGTGAAAAACACATTGTCCAGAAGTTTTCCAAGCTGTGCTCTAAATTAATGGCTACAGCTTTTGGGTAATCAAAAATTAAAAGATACACATGCGCATTTAAGGAAAAAAACAATATATACATCATATTACCAATGCAGTATTTACGATCTTTTAAAAAATGAACTATAAATACTGAATCAATTAAAGCCAAATGCATCTTCCAGGGAATACATGCAAAGACTGGATTAACAGTGACGTATAAAAATAAAACGTGATTACACAAGAAAAAAAAAAAACTTACTGCAATTTAAATTGTCCAACTGTGGCAAACGCGCTCCCCCTAGCGGACATATGTGAACATTACACAATATATCACAAGACAAGTGTTTTAAAGAAAGTAATTTCTCCAGATGTTACAGACTAGTATCTGTGATGCTTCGGCATTTTTGGGGGGACTTTTGAGGGATACTAAATGGAACTAGAAATGACCACAAAGCGGTGTAAAAAGAGTGAAAAATCAAATGCAAAGCCATCAACTGCATTCTTTTTCTCTTCAAACGTGGCTGTGGTTTGTGGCTGAGCTGCAGGAGAGGGTAGTGGTGTCAGGGGAGGCTGACTCACACACCTGACCCCATCATCTAATCATGTCTTCCCTGCTAAAGACGTTGCCGGGACCGGAGGAGAGGGTGGTGTGTGTGCTACAGGAGCAGTTGGAAAGCTGTTAAACTGCATTTTTATTGTTTCAGTTTAGCCATCTGATCAGAATGTTTATAGTAATGTAGTCTTCAGATCCAGAAGTGATGGAGGAGTTACTTTACTGTAGTGTTTGTGCTGCCATCTTAGAGGCTTTGCATAAAGTTAGTCACAAGTTTGGGCCCTAATTTGATCTGAATTCTGCAATAATCTACACTATTGGACAGATAACCCAAAAGATCAGCTCATCTCCTATGGATAAGGCTATGGTGATAGTGAGGAAGAAGAAGCAAGCACCAGGACAAGCACTATTTGTGGCTAACCTTGCAGTGTAAGGTGTGGGGGTGAAGGGGGATCCAGGGATTGGCACTCCATCTTAAGTCAGTTCAGCCTGGTATGGTCCTGCTTCCCGGGGGATGAATTTCACCTGACTAGTCTCTTAACATGATTTTACCAGAGCCATGATGAAGGCTGGGGTACAAGTTAGTAGTTAATGTGAATTACTTTGTACGTAGATGTCAACAGATGCAAAGAAGATTCCCTTTTAAAAATTAAAACCTAATAAACATTTACGCAATTAATGCCAAAATGTTCAGATTATTTGACCATAATAAAACTTCCATAGTTTCTCTGCTTATGCAAAACAAACAAACACAGGATGTCCTTCCTGATCCCGCCACTAATGTACACCTGCACTTTCAGCCTAAGCACAGACTTCTTGGATGGTCTGTTATTAAAATTAAGCATTTAGAAAAATCCCACTGTGTCTCTGGTACTGTGCTGCTGGTTAAACATGTTTACATAACCCATAAACTGTTTGCTTTTATATGACTTCTGATTCTTTCTTGCTACAGCACCATTATTTTCCCACAAGGCTCAGGGCAGTTATCCAATTTGAATTTGTAATGAATCTTGTTTTATTTGTAGACTGGGCTGGGCCTTAGCACTGTGTCTGTGTGGCTGACTTCAAAGCTTTTATCTGATTGTTAAAGCGGAGTGACGTTTTTCTCCATAGATAAGATTTAATTGTATTTTAGAGCAAAAACACACATCCACAGTTGTGTTTTACCCTTAGGTTTTACCCTTGTGGGGACATCTAATTGACAATGCTTTGCCTAGCCGCTTACCCTAACCATCAAAAATGAATGCCTAACCCTAACTCTGACACTAAAACCTCATTTTGAGTCTCAAAAATGCCTTCAGACATGTCTGGATGGTGATTTTGTCCTCATAACGGCTGTTGGTCCCCACAAGTACAGTAAACTTCAAATTTTTGGACCCCACAAAAATGTAAACATGGTAAACACACACACACACACGCTTCCATCTCAGCTTGCTTCATGTTTTAATGGCTCAGAGA